GTATAGGTATTGTAAGTATAAGTTATTATTATGTATATTATGAAATTATTGTTAATATTGCAAGTGTACAATTTTAAATCAAAGTTAAAAAATATCAATGATTAAAAAATGAGGTTGATGCATAACAATAAAGCCATTTTCTTGCATTTAAACATCTAATTATATCTTTATTTATATCTGACGGTAGGTAAACTTCATTAGCATCAGTCATTTTGCTTGCATAAAATATAGAAAAATCAATAGAAAAGAGTGATCTGTAAAAACGATTTAAAAGCTTTTAATTCCCTTAATATAACCTATCCATTACATTCCATTCGCCTGTTTGCTCTTTTAAAATGTTTCTGGCTAAACCAATATTTTGATTAAACTCAAACCATTTATTACAATCACTAGCAGAAACAAAACTTTATATTTTGATCATTTTAAAAATGCAAACAGTTTCTTAATGGAATATTTACTACATGTTTAATAGTTTCTGGAACATATGTTCAACAAATATGTTAAACTTTGTAAATTTATTAAAACACTTACCCGTCAAAATCCCGTTCAAGTAAGTCCAGACAAAACTATACGGTACCCGTCTGTCAATGTTGACTGAGACGATTGCCAGTAATTTCATTTAAAATTTGTCATGTGCGTTTAGTGTTATGTTTAAACTTTTCTGGTAAGTTTAAGTAGTATATTTTTAAGTTTTTTAAATTTCAAAATGCTTGAAAAAAAGTGATTTTTATAAATTGCCTTATTTTTTATCTATTTACATCAATACAGTTTTCGTAAAGGTTATAGTGAACAATGTTTGGTTGCATATCCCACTCGTTATTAATAGACAAACTAGATGCATATGGTTTTAGCTTAAACATTATAATAGTTATGTCTACCTAATAAATAGAAAACAAAGAGCAAGAATAAAGGATGAATTTAGTTGTTACACTGAAATGTTATATGGAGTTCCGCAAGGCTTGATTCTCGACCACTGTTATTTAACATTTTAATATGTGATTTATTTCTTTTCCTTCCCCACGTTGACGTTGCTGTGATTTCAGATGACAACACTCGATACTGTACAACTAAAGACGTTACATCTGTAACTACCAACCTCCAAAAAGCCACAAATTAATTGTTAATATGGTTTGAAACAATGGAATGAAAGCACCCTGAAAAATACCACCTTATCATCAGCAAAAAAAGTCACCTAGAAGTTACTATTGCTAGTTTAACAATTAAAACATCCGAAAATGTTAAATTACTAAGAATAAAACACAACAACAAATTTTCCTTCGAAGAGCATGTGAACTCTTTATCCAAATATGCTAACAGAAAAGTACACGCACTTTCAATAATCGCATAGTATATGTCTTTTAATCAACTCAAAATAATACTCTTTGCATTTATAACTTCAAACTTCTCATACTGCCCATTTACATGGATGTTTCACAGAATAAAGAATTAACAAACATATTGTTTGTTAATTCTTTATTCAACCTTAAAATCTTGCCGTTTCATTGAAGTTTTTTTTAGTCTTCGATTAGTGTAACCTTCCATTAGTGTAACCTTTTTGGCAAAAGTACAATGAAAGCCTCGTCTAATATCTGTAGAATTATTAATTATCTATTTATTACTATTTCCCTGCCATTACGGGATAATTTATGTCTTACCCAGTTATTTAAAATCTTTTCCATTTTAATAAATTTTTATTTGCAATGAGTTTCGTAACAGAAATTTCCTGTGTTGAAAAAAACTAGGCCTAAGCTTTTAAAAGAACTTTTATTTAAGTTAAAATATTCTTTATCTTTTAATCTATTACTGCAAAACCCAGTTATCCTGAAATTTGGCAATATTAATTTTTGCGTCTGTAGCTTTATAATTTGGCTTAAGCGCATCGTAAATGTTTTTGATGGAATTGTCTTTGATTAAATAAAAATTGGTATTATCCGCATATTGCTGTATTTTTGCTACTTTTTCTCCTATTAAAATCTTTTTTATATTAGGTAATATTATAAGTCATTATGACGTATAATATTATATTTGTAAATTGTTTTGATATATGACACAAGACTCATCCAAAACCAAAATGTTAAAGAATCTTGAATAGAAAATTTTATAATTATATGGAAAGTATGCATGCAATCAGCTTTTTTTGTTAGCTAAAGCATGTTTTTTTGTTAGCTAAAGTTTTGTTAACTAAAGTCTCTATTATAATTGTTTTTGAGCCATTTGATTATTACTTATATTAGGTACAACTTTTCCGAATGGTTTATGTTTTTGTAAGAATTTTTTAGTCCACGTTTGTGAGAGATACCATAGTCATAATTATAGAATCTTGCGAAAACGGCCCAACTGGCCGGACTATCTGTTAATATGACTACGGAGATACAGATCTCTAGTTGCTGATTTCTTTTTTTATCACCTTTTAATATATTCAAGTTATGATGACCTCCTTTTAAGACAGTGTCATTTTACTGTCAGTTAAAAATTTTTTCGTATAAATTTTTGAATTCTAACAAAATATCTTATTATTATATTTTAATTATTTTTTTATTATTATATTTTACAAATTATCTTAATATTATATTTTATTATTTTAAATTATATTGTATGCCTATTTTTTGTTGAACTAACTCAAATGTATAATAATAAATAATAAAAAAAGTCTTTAACAGTTTTCTCATTCTAATCTTCATTTGATCCTTAAGGATCAAATGAAGATTGGAATGAGAAAACTGTTAAAGACTTTTTTTATTATTCATTATTATACATTTGAAATTAGTTCAACAAAAAAAATAGGCATACAACATAATTTAAAATAATAAAATATAAAAATATTTAAAATAATAATAATAATATATATATATATATATATATATATATATATATATATATATATATATATATATATATATATATATATATATATATATATATATATATATATATATATATATATATATATATATATATATATGCCCACTGGGTTGTAGTAAAACGCCTCAAAAAATCATTAAAACTTTTTTAAAAGTGTTTTTTTTATCAAATTTTAAAAAACTAATCTTTATTTTAAAAAATAGTTTTCTTAAACCTATATAATTTTTGATTCATTTGAGACCCAACTAAATATACTTTGAGAGAAAAATATTTTTGCTAATATATGTTGATCATCATGCAATTGAGTGAAGTTTTTAAAAGTTACCCTTAAGTAACTTTTAAAAACGTCACTCAATAACATGGTGATCAACACAAAGTAAACAATTTGTTCTTAATTTCTGCACTATTAATACACAGTGTTTGATACGAGTGTATAATTTTGATGTTTTTTTATAATTATACAAGTCCTTACAATGAACTAACTTTGTTTAATGCTAAACTCTATTTTGCCCCATACATGGGACAAAATTAATGGGGTATTTGTGTATATTTTTTAAAATTCAATAAATTTAAAAATTTGTATTCTTTGGTGTTCGTACTCGTATAAAGATATTGTCAATGTTGTGTTATTTCATTTTTAAACAGCATTGTATTGATCTTGATATTTTTGTTACGATAAAAAAACTTTTTTCTTAAATTCCAATATTTTACCGCAATTTTCTAATCAAAATATTTACGGCACACGACTTAACAGCGGTTAGACACACTAAATGTGAAAAATATTTTGTTCAGAAACATAATTAAGTTAAATAAGTTTTTGCACCAATATATTGAACATTTTCTAAGTTTCTGTACATTCAACATACAAAACGAAAAAAAAAAAAAATAAAAAATCTTGGTCTAAATTAAAAAAAAAAAATCTTGGTCTAAATTTAAAAAAAAAGCTCAAGTACTTATTTTGCATTTCGGTAAAAGATTTAAAAACGTCAAACAGAACAAATCCAACGCAAACTCAAATCATAAATTCATTAAACTTTTACTTCAATTTAAAACTCTTCTTATCCATAAACTTATTATTCACCATTTTTTTCGCCGAAACCTTTTCTAGAATACACTCAGGTTTATTTTTATTAGTAATTTTTATAATAGATAAGTTGTATTTTTATCAAACTTTAACTCCAAGTTGTATTATTATCAAACTTTAGCTTAGTGACTGATGCTGGAATAAATATAGAACCTATAAAAAAACGACAGCAATAACAAATGGGTTTACTCATAAAAAATATTGTTAGTCCGAAACAATGAGCTTAATATTATATGTGGTTTTTAATAATATCGTTTTGTCTTGATGCAAAGATTATGAGAAGCGTTGTGTTTATATTTACTTTAATAAATACGGACAATACAATATACCACTTTTTATGTGGTTTGTTTTTAAAAAAATGTTGTTGCTAATAGCATTGCTATTGATCAAAAACAAACCACTTGTCTGAAATGGTAATTTTTAGTGGTTCTTACGAGTTTTATCAAATGTTATAAATAAAAATAATATCTAACTCAGTTTTAGATGCACGCAGCTTTTATGTGCTTTTTTATAGAAAATATTCAAACAATAGCTTTTTTTTAATTAACTTTACGAATCACTGGACCCTGATCTCCTGTCACAATTTGTGAATAGCCCTTTATAACTTTGTTATAATAAAATTTGGTATACTATACTTACCTACGATAGAAAGATTAAACTCGCTTTTTTTGAATCAAAATTAAAATAACAAAAACAAATACTGAATTATATAAAAGATTTTAAACCAATATGACTGATATAATTTCCCAAAGCTTTTTATATTTTTCTTGCATTCACTTATTGTTTGTTACTGACTTAACTTTTAGGAGAGTATTTAGTGAAAAAATTCTAGCTTTCTAAAAAAGATCTTACAACAAGAACATGTCTTTTACTTGCTCTAGACATATTTTACTATCTAAATGTAAATTTATTGTAAAAAAAACAACACAAAAATGTTTTTTCACTGACAAAATAAATTTAAACTAAAAAAAGCAATAAAATTTAATTTTTAAACTAACTCACTATTCAAACTCATTATTAAAAAAATTCGCTCGTCAAACGTGAATAACAAAAGTTTTGAAAAATATATTTGCATATATTTATTTATATAATTTTTAACAAAACGTTATAACGAAGTTTTTTATTTTTCGTCATCATCGTCATCGTTAGTGACACTATCTGTTCCTACTTCTTCATAATCTTTTTCCAATGCAGCCATATCTTCTCTTGCCTCCGAAAACTCACCTTCTTCCATCCCTTCGCCAACATACCAATGAACAAAAGCACGTTTTGCAAACATAAGATCAAATTTACGATCAAGACGCTTCCAAGCCTCGCCTATTGCAGTAGTGTTACTAAGCATGCAGACTGCTCTGCTAACTTTAGCCAAATCTCCACCTGGTACAACTGAAGGCGGTTGATAGTTTATACCAATCTTAAATCCTGTTGGACACCAATCAACAAATTGGATAGAGCGCTTAGTCTTAATGGCAGCAATAGCTACATTAACATCTTTTGGAACAACGTCTCCACGATAAAGCAAACAGCATGACATGTATTTACCATGACGTGGATCACACTTTACCATTTGATTCTGAGGTTCAAAACAAGCATTTGTTATATCTTGAACACTTACTTGTTCATGATGCGCTTTTTCAGCAGACATAATAGGAGCATATGTAGCCATAGGAAAATGAATTCTGGGATATGGTACAAGATTAGTTTGAAATTCAGTCAAATCTACATTTAACGACCCATCAAAACGAAGTGAGGCGGTAATGCTGGAAACAATTTGACTAATTAATCTGTTTAAATTGGTGTATGTTGGACGCGAAATATCCAAATTTCTTTTACATATGTCGTAAATAGCTTCGTTATCAACCATGAAGGCGCAATCAGAATGTTCTAGCGTTGTGTGTGTAGTTAAAACAGAATTGTAAGGCTCAACAACGGCAGTTGATACCTGAGGAGCAGGATAAACTGCAAACTCTAATTTGGATTTTTTTCCATAATCAACGGACAATCGTTCCATCAAAAGAGAAGAAAAACCTGATCCAGTACCACCACCAAATGAATGAAAAATTAAAAATCCTTGAAGCCCTGTACATGCCTCTGACAGTTTTCGAATACGATCTAGTGTTTGGTCAATATACGTTTTTCCCACAGTATAATGACCTCTTGCATAATTGTTTGCAGCATCCTCTTTACCAGAGATCAATTGCTCTGGATGGTACAGCGATCTATATGCTCCTGTCCTTACTTCATCTAAAAAAAACCTAAGGATTAATAAAGGAAACTATAAATGTTGATTAGACAAGAAAGCATCCATAAAGTAAGTACGCAGTAAAACCACTGATTAAAGACCCCTTCCTTTTATGCACTTGTATGTGTTCAGCAATTCATCCTACGTAGGTATTATTAGAAAATTACCTCCCTACTTTTCCCAACATAAAGTTTTTCAAAACATTAAATGCAAAAAAACTTGAAGTGGTTCAACATTTCTGTGTTAGATAGAATAATATTGCTTGTGTTGAAAAAGAAGCCAAGTTTTAGGAGAGAAAACGAGAGATAGTCAAACCGCGTTCTTTCTTTAACAGACAATTTTCCTCCTCCTTAGACGTACGTTTTTGGGAATCCCCTCCCCTCCCCGTTTCTATCTCTGCGCAAGTACTTTATGGAAGAGCCCTAAGATAATAGATTTAATAGCTACAAAACTAAAAATCAAATTAACAATAATAATATTGACAATAGTAATAGTTAGAAACTAATATCAATAATAGCAAATTACCGATAACGCTTGGTTCAAGATCAATAAAAATTGCTCGTGGAACATGCTTTCCAGAATCAGTTTCGCTAAAGAATGTGTTAAATGAATCATCGCAACGCCCAACAGTACTATCTGATGGCATTTGACCATCAGGTTGAATTCCATGCTCTAAGCAATAAAGCTCCCAACAAGAGTTTCCAATTTGCACTCCAGCTTGTCCAACGTGTACAGATATGCACTCACGCTAGAATACAGTATACTAACATTAAAAAGTAAACGCGAAGCCATTTTTGAAAAAGTACACAATTACTTTTAACTCTCCTTAGACTCTTTACATAGCGCGACGTTAGAATTATCTTGTTCTCCACTTTTAAAAAAAATTGAATTACTGAGTTAGTTGTGTACCACAGAATAATATTTTTCTACTGTGTTAAAACCTAAGTTGTAAGTAAAAAGGTTGCGGAGAAAACATAAGTTATAAAAAAAATTTTATATACCTTAGTCTGTTTTTATTTTTCAAATCGTTTTATCTCAAAACTCAAAAATGTGGAGATAGAACAAGATAATTCTAACGTCGCGATAGGTTAAGTAAAACCACTTTTTTCAAGCATTGCGGCAGCTTTATTTGATATTTGAGATGAGTAAATTTCAGGCGTAAAGCAAACTTAAAGCTGAATATGTTTATATGAAAAGATAATGCTTTACAACAAATTATAATGGTAGGAGTCTGGAAACAACAAATTTCATAAAACCCGTGCCCTTCCAACGCTAAATGGTAGAGTTTTCTCAAACATCAGATAAAACTGCCGCGATACCTGTGAGTTTAGTATTATCATATTATTTATAAGGTTGTTGATGTGAAAATAAATGTTAATTTAATTTTCTTTCTTTCAAAATACTACAAATATTATTTAGGCTAAAGTTTTCAGTTTTAATAAAAAGTATAATTAATAAAAATTAATCAAATCTAGTTATTAGTCATCATATATATATATATATATATATATATATATATATATATATATATATATATATATATATATATATATATATATATGTAGATATATATATATATATATGTATGTAGATATATATATTTATACGTATATATATATTTATATATATATATGTATATATATATATATATATATATATATATATATATATATATATATATATATATATATATATATATATATATATATATATATATGTAGATATATATATATATATATATGTATGTAGATATATATATTTATACGTATATATATATATTTATATATATATGTATATATATATATATATATATATATATATATATATATATATATATATATATATATATATATATATATATATATATATATATATATATATATATATATATAAGTACTTACCATTTTAAACTTTTTTTTCAGCTCACACTTATATGCGCAACGTATAATTAAGTATCGCTGAAAACTATTTTATCAAACTGCTTTTATAATCAACGGATAAAATACAATTGTCACGGTTCACAAAACAACTGAGACAAGAAAAATTAACAAAGATTACAATCTCTGTTTCGTGCATATTTAAAGTTTAATTGCTAACAATATCTCAAAACTTATATATTGTATTTAAAACGTTAAATTCATTCAATGAGATAAAACAAACAAAAATAAAACAAAGCAAAAGAAATTGAGTTTTGTGTATGTTGTTTTAGTTTTAAAAAAAACTTGTTTTGGATAAGCAAAAAATAATCAAAAAAATATTTTAATCAAAAATACTCTTTGAGTTTTTGAGTTAGCTTGTAAATTTATAAACTACGTAAGTGTTTTAAGCCTCCCAGGAAGATTATTTTTAAAAGTTAATGATGTATATATTAATATGCTATATCAATTTTTTTATTATTTTTAGGTAAGAAATATAGTACAATTTATTTTCGGAAAAGTAATTTTGGCAATATTAAACAACTTTCCTTTATTAATTAGTATGACGGTATTAATTAAAAGCTTTTACAACATTATCCGGTTTTAAAAGCATATGACCTCCTGACTAACTAGTTTAATATAGCTTTATTTTTTTCTAAATGATTTTTATTTCTTCTTTTTTAAACGACGATAAAGTATAGTTTTTTTTAGTGCTTTAGTGTACGTTAATTGTGAGAAAATTCGTTTTATTTACGAATTTGAAAACCTCATAATATAGCTGAGTAATTTCTCATAATATAGTTAACTAAAAGTGCTTAATGATATAGTTTTATACAACCTAACTTTATCAAGTATATTGTTTTACAATAAAAAAAAACAACAACAACTCAAAAATGTTAAGAGGTGTTTTTAACAAAAGCTACTCGTTTAAAAGTATAGATATACCCCGACGGGAACGTAACTTTTAAAAACAAATGCCCGTCGGGACTTTTGAACGTATAGATGTACTTTTAAAAGTATTGCTATACTTTTAAACAAGTTGTTTTTTCTGTTGAAGATACTTCTAAACATTTTTTGAGTTTTTTGTTGTAGATTAATATACTTAATTTAGTTAAGTTGTATTAAAACTGTATTACTTCCGTTACTATCTACGGTAACATTAGCAAAAAACTAAGCAAATATTAGGGAAATTTTTAGTTTAATATATTCATAGGTTATGTTATCTGAGAAATTCATGACAATCCCTCAAGCTTCACAAATTACTGTCTTTATTGCAAAATGTTATCGTAAAGCGTAATATCAAACAACAATAAAACAATAATGCGAGGTTGCTCCGTTAATACAAAAAAACTTGCGCTAATACAAAACAACATCGCCATATTGCTTTTTTGTTGGTTTATAAATTTTTAAATATTTATTTGTATTTTTACTTTGTAAATATATATGCTGAGAGTCATTAATAAAATAAAAAAATAAAAAATATAAAACGCGTTTAAGTAAAATGTGTTTTATTATCAGAATGAACGTTGTTAACTTTTACTTCTACTATTAGCATGCTTAAGTATTATACTTTCATTAGAGTAAAGTTTTTGTAAAGTTTTATACTTTTATTATGACGCGTATTTAATTAAACCAACCAATTAGACAAATGGAATAAATCCATATAGTAAGAACTGAGATAGTTAAAAAAAAACTTTATAACTTTTTACTTCTAACTTAAATGAATTCAGTTTTTTTTTAATTTAATTTTTGTCTAGTTGCCCCAAGAAGACATTCAGTCTTCTTACAGAGCACCGCGGAAGAAGACATTCGGTCTTCTCACAGAGCTCCGCGGAATAGCATTCAACTAGGAAGCTCACGCCTCTTTCCTTATCGATGACGATATATATTCCAGAGCTCGCTCGAGCCCTGGATTTCTTGTTTATAAAGCAAGCGCTCCAACTACTGCATCACGGCCGCACAATAGGCCACAAAACTGTGGTTTGACATCAATAGGCCGAGTGAATAAAAAAAGCAATTACTTTTACTCAGCGTTTTTGGAGTAATTGCTCAGCTTTACATAAATAAAAAATTTGAGAAAAATTGCTCAAATTCACGTAAAGCTGAGCAATTTACTCCAAAAACGCAAGTAAATGCTTAGCTATACTTGAATGAAAATTTGAGCCAAATTGATCACATTTTTTATTCACGTAAAGCTGGGCAATTACTCCAAAAACGCTGCGATGTTTTTGGGAAACAAAATGAAAATAACTCTCTTATAAAATTTTTTCTCATTCTTGTTGTAATTAAATTTTTTTTCTGTGCATAACCATTTTTTTTTTTTATAAAAAAAAGCAGTTGCTTTAACTCCAAAAACGTGTATTTCTTTGAAAAATGAATCCCTGTTTTGTAACGTTTTCTTCATTAAACTGCATACTTAAGCCTTACTTAGTTTTGCACTCATGGTAGAAGTTATTGAATCTAATTTGAAATTTTAAACGCAAAAAAAGATTTTGAATAAAACCAAAAACAATGCGTTGTTTTTGATTTTATGCAAAATATATCCATTCTTATGTGTATTCAATGAGATTTATTATATATTTCTACAATACTAAAACGCTGATTTATTTTACAGAAACAGTCATTATTTACTGTTAGCTTACACTAACTTCTCAGTGTAAGCTAACAGTAATAACTTGTCTTGTGCTAACTGGGCACTAACTTCTCAGTACTTGTCTTGTGCTAACTGGGCACTAACTTCTCAGTACTTGTCTTGTGCTAACTGGGCACTAACTTCTCAGTACTTGTCTTGTGCTTACTGGACACTAACTTCTCAGTACTTGTCTTGTGCTTACTGGGCACTAAATTCTCAGTACTTGTCTTGTGCTTACTGGGCACTAACTTCTCAGTACTTGTCTTGTGCTTACTGGGCACTAACTTCTCAGTACTTGTCTTGTGCATACTAGGCACTAACTTCTCAGTACTTGTCTTGTGCTTACTGGGCACTAACTTTTCAGTACTTGTCTTGTGCTTACTGGACTAATATAAAACGTGAAAAACTCACTGGCGAAAAGCTGATTTCAAAATCGTAGCCCAGAATTTTATCACAAACATCGATTCTGTGAAGTGGAATTTAGATTTGCAGTTAAATGACCCAGTGAACCTTCATAATTGTCAACATTCATTCAAGATTAACGAAAGTTTTCTTTGTAAAAAAATTTTATTATTTGAATTAACATTGTAATTAATTTAAAAAAACTCAATCAAATGATTGATTGTTTTTTTACAGTTTGGCTTATGGGAATATTGCGCATAGTTTCCTAAATAAAATTTGTTTAATCTCACTGATAATATGAATATCGTACGTAGAATCACTGAAACTTCTTTGCCAAAATTAATTATCAAATGGTCTGTAAGGTCAATGGGTATCATATTTTTTTAAATGTTATAATCTAGTGTTTAATAACTCCATTTTTTATAATCTTTTTATAATCAACTTTGTTACAAAATTATTGCGAAGTATCTATCTAGTATAGTTGATTTTATAAAAAAAAATTGTAATGAAATTGTTTATACTTGGTGTGTCATAAAAAAATTTTCTTTATTTCCCAGCAAACAAAAAGATATCTAAAATGCATCTAAAAACTGGTCTAAAAGATGTCTAAATTCAGGTCTAGAACGGGACATAAATAGACGTCTATCTTATAGACGTCTTTTAGATGCATTTTATTCGACACAAATTATTGCCTTTGCATAAAAGATGTGAAATATACATCTTACAGATGCATATTAGATGTATAAAATACGTGTCTTAAATAGATGTCTAAGGCGCGTTTAAAAAAGATAGAAAATAGATAATTTTTTAGCTAATAATAGCTCTTTTATGCATCTAATATACATTTAATATACATCTTTAAATGTATATTTCATATCTTTTATGCATCTAAGACATTTAATTGTGTCGAATAAAATGTATCTAAAAGACATCTATAAGATAGACATCTATTTATCCCGTTCACGACATGAATTTAGACGTCTTTTAGACCAGTTTTTAGATGCATATTAGATGCATTTTAGATATCTTTTTGTTTGCTGGGACTCGTTTGATACAAAGGTGTTATAGAGGTTAAATTAGTCATAAAAAAGGATTAAATTAAATAAGTAGAGAAACATTTTAACTAACATTACTTAATTTTTATTTCACAAAAATATACATAAGAAACTATATTTCTGCATTGCCGTCAACATCTTCTTCCACGTCGCCGATATCTAAAATATATACATTAATGACATTTATATGACTTTAAAAAACATGTAGAATTCTGAATCTATTTTTATGAAATAGTATATATATATATATATATATATATATATATATATATATATATATATATATATATATATATATATATATATATATATATATATATATATATATATATATATATATATATATATTATCAATAAAACTTTGTGGAATCGCTGCCTAGGCCTTTTGGATTTGTTCAAACGGTTGATCCTTATTGCAAACACATTCATGACTAACTCTGCGGTTGACAATCTCCCACAGATTCTCGAAAGGGTTGAGATCCGGAGATTGAGGCGGCCTATCCATCACCAATAGATGGTTGTCTTGAAACCACTTTTGCAGTGCGTTTGGGATCGTTTTCTTGCTGAAAAACCCATTTTATTAGCATATTCCATTCAGCATGAGGTATCATAACATCTTTCAGGATATTTTTATACATGAAAGGGTGCCTTATTTCATCGATTCGATGTATTGGACCTAGACCATTAGCAGAAAAATACCCTCAGACCATTACATTGCCTCCACCATGCTTCACGGTCTTATGGCAGTTAATGTAAATTAAGGCATTTTTCGGCCGCTAGACGTACACAGCAAATGCCATCGCTCCCAATGATGTTGAACTTCGATTCATCACTGAACAGGACAGTTCACCATTTCTGCACATTCCAGTCAATATGAGATGTAGCAAACAGGATTCTTTGCTTCTGGTTCTTTAGTGAAATTAGCGGTTTTTTTGCAGGGCATCGAGAAAAAAATCCGGCATCAACAGCACGTTGTCTGATTGTTCGGTCCGATAAAGGCAGCTCTAATTGCTTTTGTATCTCAACTAATGATATCCAGGGATCCTTCTTGACAGATCTGACGATTTTAGAATTCTCTCTAATAGTGGTGGAAAGAGATCTTCCACCATTGTTATCTGCTGCCAACTTCCCTGTGGAACAATATTTGGAACATAGTCTTGATACGTTCTATTTTTTCACGCGATATTTATCACAAATACTTTTTTGTGACATTCCACTTACATAATCGCCAACAATTTTCTTTCTTAGTTCCAATCCAAGACTGTCGGGAGCCATTTTTGCACTTAAAGTCAGAAAAATAATAAAAATAAATAATCACGCTTCTCAAGGCTTACAGTGTTACATTTACCTTGTGATGATAAAATATTGCTCTGTGGAACATAACGTCTTGGTTGGATGTGGACTGTATTGATGTTATCAAACACTTGTTGTATTTCACTTCTTGTATTGATGTTCTTCGATAAAACACTTTGATAAAACTCACTTTGATTGTCTTGATAATACTGACTGATTGACTTCCATATACTGACTGAATTACATGTCAGTTTACATGTCTCTTATATAGTAAAATGAGCCTGTGTGAACCTGTTCTGGAGATTCTAGATGCTTCTTTTCAATACTTCTGGAAGCTTCTGGATGCATCTGAATGCTTCTGAATGTTTCTGGATACTTCTGGATGCTACCAGATGCTTCTAGATGCTTCAAGATGCTTCTTCTGGAAACTTCTGGAAGCTTCTGCATGCTTCTGGAAACTTCTAGATACTTCCTTTAATTATTAAAAAACTTCTGTGACGTTGACACAGACCAGACTTGAAAAAATAAAACAAACCAAAAAAGTTGCACTTGTTTTGTACGCTGCAAAATGGCACTTGTCAATGAAATTCTGCCTGTGTGCTGTCACCTGTCAGCTGATTGTTCATGTCATAGCATGCTATGACTCCAGACTCCTGAACTGTTTGCTGTGGTTGTATAGTTCATTTCATTTCAAGACATATAAAATTAGGAACACTTTTTATCATTGTTCGATGTTGGTTGCAAATGCTTTGTCCAATACTGTATATACACACATATATATATATATATATATATATATATATATATATATATATATATATATATATATATATATATATATATATATATACATGTATATATATATATATATATATATATATATATATATATATACTTATATATATATAAATATATATATATATATATATATATATATATATATATATATATATATATATATATATATATATATATATATATATATATATATATATATATATATATATACTATATATATATATATATATATATATATATATATATATATATATATATATATATATATATATATACATGTATATATATATATATATATATATATATATTTATATATATATAAGTATAATATATATATATATATATATATATATATATATATATATATATATATATATATATATATATATATATATAAACAAGAAGATTTGTATCTCAACCAGATACAATAATAAACAACTATTGTTTTATGAAAAAACTAAAGGAACTTGTATTATGGATACAAAAATTCTAGCATGACACAAAAAAGTCGAAGAATATCTTTTTAATACATATATCAGTTTTGTAAATACTATTAAAATTATACCTCGTAAAACACTCCATATATTTACTAGATTTTCTAAGCTTATCTTTTCTCCATTTCCTTTTCGATTTAATTTGGACTGTAACTGATTTGAAAATAACCTGATAAATATTTTAACAATAAACTGAAATATATTTATAAAGATTTTTATTTTAATATATGAATGCTTAAAATTATGAAAGGTATAAGTATTAAATTTGAAAATAAAATGCTAAACAAGGTTTAGCATTACATTTACTTTAGCACACAAACAAACTTAAACAACTACAGTGAAGCTACCGAGTTTATCAAATTGTCATGTTAAAAGTAAATCCTTAACAAATAATGGTCAAAATAAATTGCTTTTGGTCCCTTTTAATCATATTTCTAATAATTAATAAAAACATAATCATTTACCTTTTCATGATCAAAAAAACATGTTCTCTTGGCTTTCCGCCACCAACCTTTTTTAAACTATCAAGCTGAAATAAATGTAATTGAGAATATCATTTTGCATCTCTACAAACAAGAATAAAAAGATTGATTAACATATTTAGCTCATAAAACCAAATAGCAAAACAATGAAATAACAATGTTAAAATTCAAATTATGCTTGAGTAAGTCAAACTAAAATTCCAAAAATACATGTAAGTTTTTTTATTACTCCATCGCAGAACTTTTTAAATCAGCTAAAACTTTATCTGTAGAATCAGACAAAGGCAAAAGAGGCAGATTGGAAACCTAATAAAAAATAATTTTGATTAAATAAACTACTTTGCAATAATAATCTAATAAAAAAATAATCCATTCAAGTTATAGGTAAACCCGCTGAAAATAAATTAAACATTCAAGTTTTACAGAAATTCTTATTTAATTTTGACAAATAAACAACAACAAATAATATTCAGATTTATGTTTAACCGTTACTGATAACCAGGGGTGTGGAGTTGTAAAAAAAAAGTAATGACTCCGACTCCGAATTTTTTGAGCACAACTCCGACTCCAACTCCAACTTCGATTACAACTCCAAAGCAATATTTTAGAAAAATTCTTCAATTTCTTTAAAAAATATTACGGGATAAGTTAAAATTTATTTTTTGACAAATTTATGAAACGTTCTTTGAGGTTTGGTATGAATTAAATGTTTTGTACATGCAAGTACAATACCGAGAAGTTTTACTATTAGAGTCGGAGTCGCAATTTTGTTTAGCGACTCCGACTCCGCTGAAAATGTCTTAAATCCGCAACTCGGACTCCACAGCCCTGGTGATAACTTTCGTATATTTTTCTTTGGGCTTAGCTCAAGAGCAATTCTTGATATTTCCTCCTGTAAAAGGTTGCGATATTAAAGAATTTTGTTTAACTACTAAAGGTAAAATGCTACACACATGATTTATCGGATCACAAAATTATAAATAATCCATTTCTATTCTTTTATAACTATCTTTTACAATTATTTTTAAACAAAAACAAATTAATAAAAAAAGACCTCGACGTTAACATTCAGTGGTGTAAAAACCAAAACTACTCACATTAAAACTTGAAACTCTTGAAGATTTTTACTTAAAATCTTCATGCTTTTTTCGAAATAAGTTCCCGCATGGTTTTTAAATGGCGGTCATTTATAATTATCGCACCGTAAAATTAGTTAAAATTTTCTTATTTTTATAACAAATCTATAAAAGACATCTTATAGACATCTAAGTTTAGATGAAAAAAAAATTATCTATGCACGATCTATTTTATGCATCTAATATGCATCTAAAACAGAGCAAAAATAGTATCTCTAGAATCAGACGTCTTTTCGATCTCTAATATACGTCTAAAATATACGTATCGGCAATAGATACAAATTAGACCAATTTTAGACGGTCTAAAAGACGTCTATTGTTTGCTGGGTTATCCCTGGTTTAACAACTTTGTACATTACTAGTCTTTTGGCAAACATGTTGGCCATAAAAATTATAATATTTATTTACGCTATTTTCAGATGAGATGCCATTTTTATACAAGGAAAACAAACGAATTTAATTTCATCACAAATTGTGATAAATTAAATTGTGATTTAAAAAAAAAACTAAAAACAGGTTGACATGATTAAAAAAATTTAAGAATTTTTGACTTATTTATCAAAAATCTAAGATCTTATGGAGGATAAAGTTCATTCCAAGTTCATTTGTCAAATGAAAGTGGAGAAACAAGACCAAATTGTGGAAAGAATTAGTCTACACCAATCCCCAATATTACTCTCTGAAAACTCACTTAGATCCTTGGAAGAATTTTTCAGATTTCTCAGAGAACTCAAATCCTCTCTCTAATTTTGAAACTGATATTGTTGATTCATTGGATAAGAACTTTAATTCAACTAAATTCGATTTTCAAATGAAATAACATTTTTAACAAAATTCATTTTAAATAAATAAGATTTTTCATTGCTATTTTAAATCTAAACAAATTTAATACCATATGGCATCATTCTATTTAGATGACGTTTATTCAAACTAAAGACAAACTTTTCAGAAGTTTTCAAAAGATGGAAGTTTCTCTTTTGTCACAGCCAGATCACCATTCTTCCAGCGAATTATCAAGCACAATGTCAGGTCACCAGTCAAGCTAAAATTAGATTTGATTGGAATAAAATAATTAGCAGGCAGTTATCTTGCCTTCAACCATATTAATGATGTAGCATATTAAAACTTTATCAAAAAATTGGATCAAAAACTCAATTGACTGAGAAAATTCAGGAGGACCTTGGGTGTGTCGATCAGCTACTTAATTTTATGTTACCTGAGTGCCTCAGCATCCCTGAAGTAAAACACGCTTTTGATGCTTTTAAGAAACCCACAACTCACAACAGTCGCATTGTCTGACAGAAGATCAGGACAGAGTGTGTCAGGATAAATAATTAATGAAGAATGATTTTTTGGTAAAAAAAAATTATGCTCATAGAGTCGATAACAAAAATTTTGTTAAGACGAAATCTTTGTTGAACCCATAGATAATTATATTTGTTCAAATGATTTGTCTTCCGAATAAATGTTTAATAAGTTAAAAAAAATCTTCAAATCTGTTAAAAAAATAATTGGGACAGATCAAATTAATGAAAACGTGGTTATAGATTGCTTTGAACAACCAAAAGATTTAATTTTTAGAGCTTCTATCAAGGAGTATTCCCAGAACAATTAAAAATTGTAAAAGTTATTACTATTCTTAAAGAAGAGGACAATTCTGAAATTAGTAACCCAATCTCTATTCTTTCCACATTTTCGAATGTTTAACAGAGTATACAAATATTTTCATAATAATAGTCTACTTCACATCAATCAATTGGGTTTCAAGAAAAACCAAATTGATTGTTGTAAAGTAGATAATAACTCAACTCAATTAACTAACAAAATAATTAACAAAGTAACTCAACGGAACATGCTATTATCTAATTTGTACGTGAAATCTCAAAACCATTCGAAAAATCACAATACACACTAGAAATATTTATTGACCTATCAAAAGCTTTTGATACGGTTGATCACTATATTTTAATTTTACTCAAAAACTACGGAGTAAAAAATAAATAAAATTTCAAAGTAATTTTAAAGTTATCTATCAAACCGAAAATTTTTTTTTAACACTTTTCTTAATTTAACCTATAGAATTTCACAAGGTCAAATTCTGGGACCTCTCTTTTTTATTTTATATAAATGACTTGAATAAGCCTCAAAACAAAAAAGCATTATGTATGCAGATGATACAAACTTATTCATTTCTAGCTATGATATTGCTGAACTTTTTAAAACACTGCATTCAGAACTCTGAATTTTTTACCAATTAGATACATAATCTAATTGGTTCAATTGTAATAAGTTAACCTTAAATACTAATAAAACACAATGTGTGTGTATATATATATATATATATATATATATATATATATATATATATATATATATATATATATATATATATATATATATATATATATATATATGTGTGTGTGTGTGTGTGTGTGTGTGTATATATATATATATATATATATATATATATATATATATATATATATATATATATATATATATATATATATATATATATATATATATATATATATATATATATATATATATATATATATATATATATATATAACTGAATTAAATTGTGCGTTGACATAAGTCCGCTAATTCTGTCAACTTAGGTTTAAAAAGTCTACTTTGATAATTTTTTTGGTCATAAGTTGAAATAACGTTCACATTTTTCAAACTATTAAAGTATTTATACTAGAGTTTTCTTTAAAGATCATTCAGTTCAGATTTTCTATATTCGTTAAACTTTTCAAAATTTTACAGTAATAAGTTCAAAATTAGCATTCTTAAAGATAAAAATAAAAAATTTACAACTAATTACAAGTAATTTACAACTTTGTAAAAGGTATTAAAAACTTTAGAATCTGTATGAATAAATTTTATAGCGTTTATGATGTTATAATATAATACATTTTATAGCGTTTATGATATTTTAACAATGAATTGTTTGGTTTATAATGCTTAAATAAATGCTTTAACTAATTGTATAATAGATGATACTCAAGAACCCATAAGTAATGAACTGGATAGTCCCTATCAGCCATTGCACTATCACTATAGTGCAATGGCTTTCATGTAGAAAAACATAACTATACCTCACTATATAAACTTTATATAGTTTATATACTTTATAATAAAGTAGCTACACTATCAATTGGTAAAAGATGTGTTTATTCTGACGTTCTTTTTTAATATTTAAATATCTGTAAGTATTGGACAAATAAAGTAGGTACTCTTAAGAAGACAAAAAGTGTGTTAAAAATCATCTTTAATATGCTTTATTATTTAACATGTGTCACTCTTAGGGTGGCTCTTTTAACAAAATTCTAGAGAAATTTTTAAAATAATCATTTTTTATGAATAATATTATACTAACTTTCACCTAAACTTTCATTTTGATTTTGTATTTATTTACCTAATTCTTGAACTTATTTTTGTCTTATTAAATATTTTGTTTTTGTCACTCAATAATGCACCATAAACTGCTAATTTTTTTTGTTTAATTATGCTTTTTTTTAAATAACTTAATTTATGCATATTTCTAAAATGTAAATATATTCTCATTAGTTTTCTCTTAACTAAAATTAAATATGTTCTAAATTTCAAGTTTAAGAAACCATTTTATTTTGAGAAATCATTTCAAAAATATGTGGATATTTTAATTGGTTTTTACTATATTTAGAAAACTGACGCATAAAAAAAAAATCATTACAATGTTATCGATTATGTTACTGTTATATTTTAGCTGTGATGAATCTTAAAACTTTAAAAAACGAAATTGAGAATTTTATTATGAAACACAATGAAGAACATCCTGAAAATCCAGTTGATGAATCTCATGGGTATGCCCATTTTTGTAAGGTTGCAAAGCATGCCAAGCTTGCTATTCATTCATTTATTGACAGTGGCATGATAATAACTGACACAGAACAATTTGAAATTTTAGCTGCTTCATGGCTTCATGATGTTGATGATGCTAAATATTTTTCAACAGAAGATTATGCTAATGCTAGGATGTGTTTAGAAAAAGTTGGATGTGATTCTGAAATTATTAATAACATTATTTATATGATCAAATTGGTTTCATCATCGAAAAATGGTGATACAATTCCTGAGGGGACTAAAGAAATACAATTAATTCCTCGATATGCAGACCGACTTGAAGCCATTGGTAAGATAGGTGTACAACGTTGTCTTTTGTATACTCTTCAACAAGGGGCACCATTGTTTTGCTCTGACACAAAACGTGCTACAACTGAAGAAGAATTATTTAATAATGTGGCAACAGAAGAGCGATATCGAAATTACAAAGGAAAAAGTTTTTCATTCATTGATCATTTTTATGACAAGATTTTACGCCTTGATCGTTTTCCTATTCGTAATAATTATTTTGATGAAGAATGTAAAAAGCGTCGTGCTGCAGTTGTTGAAATTGTTTTAATGTTTGGACAAAAGGGTTCAATCACATTGGAAGAGGTTGAAGCTTACATTAAAAGTTGATTTATTATGTTATTTATTGAATTTTTATTGATAAATATTGGCTTAGGACCTAGGAAATTTATGTCTTTAATTTTGGCTTTGAAAATATTTCCTTAGAAAATCCTTGCCTTAAACATCGAATTTCAGGTCTTTTCAAAGGTTTTGCAAATGCAAACGTTTTTAAATTAACTCTGTTGTCAATTGTTTTAAAAAACAGTTATTTGATAACTATTTTATTTAATTAATAGTGCAAGTAATAGATAAATATACCAGACAGTTTTGTCTTCAACATAAATAACTTATAAATCAAATTATTTTCAGATTTCTAATTATAATTTAAAAAAAAAAATATCTTTAGGGGTGTAACAGGCAAATTAATTAATAAATGATGGAACGGTTTATTATGTGACCAATTATTATGTTGTAAAAAGAGTAAATAACTATCAGTTATTTGCACATATTTTCAAAATTAATTATCTAATATAAATCTAATTAAATAAATTGATTTTAGGATATACAAAATTAAATTTTATTTAAAAAACTGTAATTTAATATTTATATTTAAAACGGAAACCAGGCTGCGTTGTTACAAAAAAAAATATTTTTTCTGTGACAATTAGAAGCAGTAATCAAAATGTTTTTTTAGTTTCAATATCATAGTAAAATTTAGTTGATATTTGAGTTTTTATTTTCATCACTTTTTTATAACATGATATAAAAATGTTGGGGTAAACATATTTAACGCCCAATACAACGGGTTTGTATTCCAATACAAACCTGTCTAACAAGTAACAAATTAACAAAATTACTCAAAAAGAATTAGAAATTATTTGTTTTTTCTTTGCATTTGCAAGTTTACTGCAAATAGGTTTTTTGCTGAGACTTGGACTGTTAAGGTATAAGACCCCTCAAAAAAAAAATTATTAAAAAAAGTTTTTTAACAAAAAAACAATTTTATCTTGAGAAACAACTAGATAAAAGGATTTAAAAAATACAAAATAAATTTATTAATTGTCATGGCTACCAAGTAAAATGGCCGACATTTAAAAATATTTAAATTACCCCGGCCAAGCTATCTCAGTAACTGAAAGCATGTAGGTTATGAATTTTTGGCATATGGTTAATAACATATTGATCTAAAAACTGAACTAAAATTATTTAAAAAAATTATTTCAAAATGGCGTACTAAAAATATGATTTTTTTGGAACTTAAAACTTCTATAAATCAAAAACTCTTGATTGCATTAAAAAACTTTTAGTTCCAATTGTACAACCAGATGCAATAAACATTTGGTGAAAATTTCATACAAATTTAACTTACGGTTAATGAGATTTACATTTTGAAATTTACAGAAATGAATTAGAGAAATTTACATTTTGAGAAAAACTCGTTTGAATATTATATTCATAAATTTTCATAATTGTTTCTCTCGTATACTCAATTAAAAAACTTTTATTTATATGAACATGAACCAGGGTCATAAAGACAACCTTCTTGATCATTCTCTGCATCATCCTTTTTTTTTTTTTTTTGCATCCACGAATAACTTTTCGTCGCTTTTTAGATGTAATCCGATTTTGATATTCTGCAAAAATTAAGCGCTTTTTGTTCATGGTTGAACAGCCTTAGAGAGTATAAATACCAGGAATCATATTCAACTTTTCAAACAAAAGTATGCTTGCTTTTCTTCCAATATTAAAATTTGAAACAGCATCATAAACTCCTAACTCCAACTGCGTTAATGAAACATACTTTGTTTTAGGTATGCGCTGCCATATCATTCCATTAAAATTTTCATTCTGATTTTGGGTTTTACCATAAAGGCATTTTTTTAAGAGTTTTTCTTGAGATAAATTTATATATATAGGCTTTAGATGACTGACAACTGAGAGTGGAAGACCAGCACCTGGCTTGTAGGTAGACGTTAAATTAGCTTTATCCTATTTATAACGACACCAACTATTGATGCCATCTGGGCAAAGAGCATGCCAATTATTTTCAGCTGATGATGCAACATGAAACAATGTTGCAAGTATGGCCTTTTTCATACCTTCTAAATCATTGGCATTTTGCCTAACAGCAACTCCAAAAGTTGGAGTGTGTTGGACATTAACAGAAACGTGTTGGTAGCAAATCTGCTACCAACACGTTTCTGTACATGTCCAACACACTCCAACTTACACACTGTTATACCAGGATAAGTATCTTTAACATACGAATAGCTTTTACAATCACCGTCACCATAATACTTTACATATCTCAGTTTATTTTGTGAAATAGAACGGCTAAATATTCTTTGAGCGCCAGTTACTTCCATTCCAGGAGCAGAGCCACGATAATTTAGTTTACATACATGTGATGATTTCCAAGCTTCAAAGGCATTTGGGTTATTTTTTTTTAGTTTTAGTTTTAAACTACATGCTTTACATGATCGACTCACTGGTTCACAATCAAGAATTTTACCTGTGTCCATTGATATAGCAGTAACCACTCAATTTAATGAGGAAAATCCACGACGTTGCCAGCTACCATCAACTGATACTGCGGTATCAACAATATTTGAAGAAGATTGACTAATGTCTTTAACAGCGTCATACATTGCTTCTTTTGCAACAACTTTAGCACAATCAGAGACATGTTTAACTATTTTGTTGTAATTGTTCTTAGTCATTGGTGTATTCATGTTCATTAAAGAAGTAAATTTTTCTAATCCTGAATAACCTTGACCACATGCACGCAGAGAATAAATTATTCTATTATTTACATCAAAATTTTTCTTCCCAGAGCATGTCTTTGAAGTATAAAATTCAATTTTTTTGTTGCAATTAGGGCAGCATATATTTAACATCGAGCTAAAACCTTTTTTTTTAGGAAAACATTCTTCAAGAAATAATCCAGATTGTAAACAATTTTTGCAACATAATTGACTTATTAGACCAGATAAAATTTTAATGTCAATAATACGATAACCAACAGTTTTATTATTACTTTGATTTGGTGTTTCAATTTTTTCAATTTTTTTCGAGGATATAGATAAATCTAATGAACTATTATTGAAAATAAGGTCATTTTCAGAACAGGTAACATTGTTATTAACAGGAGCTGCTGATAAAGTTGAATTGTTTGTCAAATTTTTGGTATACCTATTTCCATGAAATCTTCTGGATTTTTTACTTTGAGTACTTTGTTTCACTCTGCATGATTTACCCATTATTGAAAAAGTTTATTAAGTAACACAAAAATAACTAAATAGCTGGCAATTCTTATAAAAAACCCGTTGTTGCTAAGCTGATCAAATTTACCCAGTTGAAGGAAACCTTTTATATCTCAAGAACTAAGCCTTATTTTTAAAAAAGGTTTTCAAATTCGGATTCAGAGAAAAATTTCGTGTAAGAAATACACAAATTATTTTTTTTGAATTTTTTAGGAATTTTGAGGGGTCTTATACCTTAATGCATCGGACCCGATTTGTAGATAAGGCTTTGGGCCGGGTTCTACTAGACCCTAGCCGAATCCATAGCCAATTTACTTTAGAGAATTTGGGCGGATCTTGGTCTAGATCCGCCCTAATTTTATAAAATTATTTGGGTATGGTAAATATATAATGTAAAACAAAATAATCTAGCTAGATCGTTTTGTTTTACATTAGAGTTCTTTTTAGCATTTTTTTTTAATTTGCATTCACTCCCAACAAGGTTCCAAGCAACCACTATTAAGTTGAGAGTTATAGGAAAAAAAAGAACAGAGTTATAGAACAATGAAACGGTTGACAAAAGACTTGAAAAGTTGAAGGTTGTATGAGTCAGGAAAACATGAAGATGGGAGAGAGTTCCAAAGGATTGAAGTGCGGGGAAAAAAACTAGACAAATAAAAGTTTTTAGAGCATGCAGGGATAGATACAGTAAACGAATGAGACTTAGCTGATCGATGAGTAAAACGAGAATGAATTATAGTTGATGGAGCTAGAGATGATAACTCCTTTGAGCAGTGGCTATGGTAGTATTTGTAGAAAAGAGAAAGAGATGCAACTTTACGACGATGGAAAATAGGCTCAAGCTTAGCAGATAGTTTAGGTCCAACAACATTTACAATGCGTTTTTGGACCTTGTCAAGAAGAGAAAGTGAATCGTTAGAAGAACCAGCCCAAATATGACAACAGTATTTCATACAGGGACGAATAAGAGATTTGTAGAGGTAGAGAATGGAATCAGAAGTAAGGAAATGGCGAGCACGATAAAGAGAAGCAACCTTAGCAGAAGCTAATTTAGCAATCGATTGTATATATGGTTTCCATGAAAGGTCAGTAGTAAGCAATAATCCAAGAAGACTTAAAGAGGAGGACTCAGTAAGAGGATTGCTATTCATTAATATAGGAATGTTGACCATATTACGGTAGTTGTTTGCAGTAAGCAATTGGGTTTTGTTAGAGTTGAAATTTACAAGCCACTGTGAACCCCAATCTATTACTAAAGTGAGATCGGATTCAAGATCAGCTGTTTGTCGGATTCAAGATCAGCTGTCTTTTCGATCTAGGCGATCGAAAATAGAAGACTTTTTGTCAAGACAGGAGTATAAAATTGAGTCATCAGCAAAAAGAGCTACTTTAGATGAAAGGTTGTCAGGAAGATCGTTTATGCAGATAAGAAACAAAACAGGGCCCAGGATGGAACCTTGGGGAACCCCAGAAGTTACTGGGAATAAAGAAGAGTGTTGGCCTTCAAGGATGACTTTATTAAACCGGTTAGAAAGAAATGATTTGATAATCTCAAAAACTTTCCCAGAAACACCATATGAAGCAAGCTTATGGAGAAGACCAGCATGCCAAACTTTATCGAAAGCTTTAGATATGTCGAGAGCAATAGCCCTAGCCTCACCGCCTCCATCTAATGCACGATAAAATCTTTCAGTTACAGCAGTTAGCAAGTCGGCCGTAGAGCGAGAGGATCGAAAAACGTATTGATTGTCTGACAGTAGTTTATTTGACTCAAGATGAGATGTAAGGAATTTGTTGATCAAAGACTCAAAGACCTTGCTAATAACAAAAAGAAGACTGATCGGACGATAATTGGAGGGGTCA